ACGCGAATTAATTGACAAAAAATTCTGGTTGTTCTTTTAAGTCCATCAGGCGACAAAACTTCAACAAAAGTTAAAGCTAATTCATAGAACGAATCAGTAAAAAAAAGAAGATTCTGGGCAAACAGCAAGTTACAAAAACTTCAAATATTTCAGAGCAATTTAAAGATCAAACCCTTTGGCGAAAAATATAGGTTTTTCTATTGAAGCCTTGAAGCGATGAAACTTTGAGACATTTCAAGTTATTTCATAAAGCTAATTGGTTCACAAAACTTTTGAGTGCTTCTTAAGGAATCTATTCAAGCATTAAAACACTGAATTAATACAAGTTTCCTCACTGACCCAATTTCAAAAAAATTAGCAAGATTTGTTTTGCATGCTATACAAGCTATGAGACTTGAAAAATCTAAAATAACTCAGTGCAAGCATTTGTTTGAAGAAAATTAACATTTTTTAATCAGGTTGTATAGCGATTAATTTCGAAAAAAATTATAGACAGCTATCAACATATCGAATCGGTCCGCAAAAAAACTACAGAGTAAATCAGTTCTCAAAAATTTTTAGCACGTTCATCAAGCGATGAAACATTAAAACAATTCAAGTTATATCATATGGCAAATCAATTTGCTAAGAAAGTAAGTTTTGCTTAGCAAGCAAGTCAAGCGATGAACTTGCAAAATTTCAAGTTAAGTCATTTACCAAATCAGTTCGCGAAAAGCTTCACTTCTCTTCGCACGCTATTCAAGAAATGATGAAACTTTTAAAAAATTCAAGTTATTTCATGACGCGAATTAATTGACAAAAAATTCTGGTTGTTCTTTTAAGTCCATCAGGCGACAAAACTTCAACAAAAATTAAAGCTAATTCATAGAACGAATCAGTAAAAAAAGATTCTGGGCAAACAGCAAGCTACGAAAACTTCAAATATTTCAGAGCAATTTAAAGATCAAACCCTTTGGCGAAAAATATAGGTTTTTCTATTGAAGCCTTGAAGCGATGAAACTTTGAGACATTTCAAGTTATTTCATAAAGCTAATTGGTTCACAAAAAATTTGAGTGCTTCTTAAGGAATCTATTCAAGCATTAAAACACTGAATTAATACAAGTTTCCTCACTGACCCAATTTAAAAAAAATTAGCAAGATTTGTTTTGCATGCTATACAAGCTATGAGACTTGAAAAATCTAAAATAACTCAGTGCAAGCATTTGTTTGAAGAAAATTAACACTTTTTAATCAGGTTGTATAGCGATTAATTTCGAAAAAAAAATATAGACAGCTATCAACATATCGAATCGGTCCGCAAAAAAACTACAGAGTAAATCAGTTCTCAAAAATTTTTAGCACGTTCATCAAGCGATGAAACATTAAACAATTCAAGTTATATCATATGGCAAATCAATTTGCTAAGAAGGTAAGTTTTGCTTAGCAAGCAAGTCAAGCGATGAACTTGCAAAATTTCAAGTTAAGTCATTTACCAAATCAGTTCGCGAAAAGCTTCACTTTTCTTCGCACGCTATTTAGGAAATGATGAAACTTTAAAAAAATTCAAGTTATTTCATGACGCGAATTAATTGACAAAAAATTCTGATTGTTCTTTCATGTCCATCAGGCGACAAAACATCAACAAAAATTAAAGCTAATTCATAGAACGAATCAGTAAAAAAAGATTCTGGGCAAACAGCAAGCTACGAAAACTTCAAATATTTCAGAGCAATTTAAAGATCAAACCCTTTGGCGAAAAATATAGGTTTTTCTATTGAAGCCTTGAAGCGATGAAACTTTGAGACATTTCAAGTTATTTCATAAAGCTAATTGGTTCACAAAAAATTTGAGTGCTTCTTAAGGAATCTATTCAAGCATTAAAACACTGAATTAATACAAGTTTCCTCACTGACCCAATTTCAAAAAAAATAGCAAGATTTGTTTTGCATGCTATACAAGCTATGAGACTTGAAAAATCTAAAATAACTCAGTGCAAGCATTTGTTTGAAGAAAATTAACATTTTTTAATCAGGTTGTATAGCGATTAATTTCGAAAAAAAATATAGACAGCTATCAACATATCGAATCGGTCCGCAAAAAAACTACGAGTAAATCAGTTCTCAAAAATTTTTAGCACGTTCATCAAGCGATGAAACATTAAAACAATTCAAGTTATATCATTTTTTTTAAATTTTTTTTATTTTTTATTATTTTTTAGTTATATCATATGGCAAATCAATTTGCCAAGAAGGTAAGTTTTGCTTAGCAAGCAAGTCAAGCAATGAACTTGCAAAATTTCATGTTAAGTCATTTACCAAATCAGTTCGCGAAAAACTTCACTTTTCTTCGCACGCTATTCAATAAGTGATGAAACTTAGAAAAAATTCAAGTTATTTCAAGACGCGATTTGATTGACAAAAAATTTCGGTTGTTCTTTTCAGTACATCAGGCGCTAAAACTTCAAAAAATTTAAAGCTAAATCAGAAAACGAATCAGTAACAAAAAAATTAAAAGATTCTGGGCAAACATCAAGCTACGAAAACTTACTACGAACATCAAGCTACGAATATTTCAGAGTAATTCAAAGATCAAACCTTTTGGCAAAAAGTATAGGTTTTTCTATTGAAGCCATGAAACTTTGAAACAATTCAAGTTATTCCAGAAAGCAAATCGGTTCGCAAAAACATTGAGTTCTTCTTAAGCAATCTATTCAAGCATTAAAACATTGAATTAATTCAAGTTTCTTCACTGACCGAATCGTTTTGCGAAATGCTTGAGTTTTCATTTTGAAGCCGATTAAGCAACGAAACTTTGAGCTACTTCAGATTATTTCAAACTAAATCATTCCACGGAATATTAAAAATTTTGCGGAATAAGCTTTTCAAGCAAAGAAACTTTGAATCTTTTCAAGTTATTTCATAGATCGCATCGGTTCGTAAAAAATCAAGTTTTTCTGAGCAAAACATTCAAGCTATGAAACATGGAAAGTTTGTTTTTCTAAGCATTAGGATTGTTTTTTTTAGTTGATTGGGCTGATATGAATCTGTTGAGGGCAATTTTTCTGACAGAAAGTAAGCAGGAACTGTCTAGACATGAAGTTGAATCGAGTTCATGTTGTTTAAAGTTTTTCGGACTCTTTTTTTTTAAATGAATCGTCGTAATGTTAAATTATCTTAGCCGTCCCTCCTTTACAATAGCGCTAATGGACTTGTTGATAAATTAAACTATGCGCAGCGATCTGCACCCCCTTATACAAAATACAGAGCTCCTCAGGAGCGCGAAGCTTATTTTAGTTCTTATGTAGTTTATCGATTCTGGGCAGCTTTCTTGTCTTTTTTCACTTAGTTTTTCGGCTAATCGCTGCATCGTCCGCGTGGCTGTTGGAGCAGCGCCACCGGTGCATCCGAAAACTAGCGGGTAGAAGCTACTCTGCTCTACGTTTAAAACTCCAGCGTTTCGTGATATTTGTATGCGTCTTTATGCAGTTTTCGCGATGTTTTGGCATGGGAATTGAAAATTTTCACAGTAAAGAAAGGGCGGCTAAAGTGTGAACCCCAGATTCCGTTTGTTTCAAAGCCAAGTCGGGTCTCATCTTCAGTTGTAGTTGAATTGTTGACAAAGCTTTCGCCTTGCAACGGCTGAAGTTTCGGCTCAATCTCGACGCCATGGCAAACCTCGTTCATGAGGTTGGCGAATGTGTCTCAAATTTCATTGTGTCTCATGTGTGTGTAACCGCCCTTTGCACAGTGTGGGGCATGTGTCAAGCTAAAATTAGCACCACATACATGCACACGTGAGTGGGGTTTTGGTCGGTTCCCATCCGTACCTTCAGTAATACCATATCTGAATTCTGATTTTTTCAGGTTGAAGTTGTATCTGCTCAGTGATAAATCATTGAGCCAGTTAGAGGCTCCCTTTTCAGAGGCCAGGTCGATTGCGTATTTATCTGTTCCATTCATGTAGTTAATGGGGTTTATTTTCGGTTTGTTCTATCAGTTTTCAAGTTTTTGATTTTCGTACAAATTTTTTCTTGCTTTGTTATTGCTGTAGCAGGATCTTGAGATTCCAGTACTAGTGATGTTTCCTTAGACCATTCTAGATAACTTTCATGGTCGGATGGCAGCTTGATGTTAAGGCCGCCCATTTTAAGGGGCAAGGAAGATATCTCACGGAACTGTGTCCTAACCGAACCGACTAGGTTAGGTATTAGTTGTTCTTTGATAATCTTTTCACATGATTCTAAGTTTTCCATACTGTTGAGCGTTGTTCTGGTTAGAAATGAAAGCGTCTCTTGAACTCCATCAGTAAAGCAGGCATAAACATTTTGTAGGAGGTTTTAGCTACTTTCGTTAGTTTTTTCAAAATTTTGATTTTCTAATTCTGTTGAAACTCGAGGAACTTTTTACATTCAGATTCTGTTCATATATCAGAACCAAGCACTCGGGCGCCTGCCTTTATAGTGACTCCTGTATTTTCGAAGATTTTCTCAGCTTCACCGAGATTTTCATCTTTGTTTTGCATATGTAAGCAATTTTTATTTTTATTTACAAATTAATTCTTTGACAATGAGTTGGCATTTGGATGCTATAACATGGTAGCCAAAAAATCTAACAAAAGTACAATTTTAAGGAGGACGGTTCGTAGATTTTTTAACTTACCGACTGCGTTACCGTTGTCTGTGTACCATTTCTGGGTTACGTTGTCTACTGATAATATTTTTATGAGGGGTATAAAAGTTTACTGACGTTCTAATACAAGTCTTTTTAAACTTTGCGCTCGATAGCCCACCACAATATGAGATTGTCGTTTAAAGTATACCTTTCTCTAGCACAGCACTTATAGAACTTTCTGTTATTTCGAATTTTTTTCAATGTCTTGCATTCCCGAAAAAAGACAACCCAAGCCAATTTATTTAAAGTTCTGAAAGCCGAGGCAGTTGAACTGATAGAAGGCAAAGAAAATAGATGCATTCCCTCCAACTGAGCAATGAGCCCCAATGACAACAGCAATCTTTACTTACTATGAACATGTTTAGGGACATTCGGGTTTGCTTTGATTTGAGCTAAATCATCAGGGGAAACAATTTTGATATGGTTTGCAGGGAACCATCCAACTGGCCCAGAACACTGGGCTGACCCATGACCTTGTAGTTGCCCTTCCCACCAACCTCCGTCCACTACCTGCAAAACGGTGAGGTAGTCTCCTTTCCTGAACTGCAACTCATCTTCGTGATTTCCCACGAAATTATACAGCGCTTTGGCTGTAAATGGTACAGCTGAAGCGGTCTGCTGCGAGGACATGACAAATTTTCAATTATGAATACATTAAATTCTCGAAGTTTTCATTATTATATCTGGAAAACATGCAATTCGAGGAACTTCTTTTACTATAGAAAAAAAAAACGTTTTTATTCAATTAATCAGAAGGTCAGAAGAATCATAGTAACCGAGTTTACATTCAGGAGTCCCTTCATCACATACTTTTGCCTAATTGTTGTGATAAACTTATTAAATAGATTTGTTATGTTTAATGTTTGTGGAGCGCCCTCTGAGGGATTTAAGAGACAGGTCTACAAAATGGTTTTCTGTGGGGAGGTGGGAAACTAGAACTTGAAGAGTCTGGTGGTGCACCGCTGGACCTACTGAGCTCGGGCGAGATTGTTCCTTGTTTTTGATTTTTGTAATTCGATTTTAAAATTTAAATTAAATTAATTGTGTCAGCTCACTTGAGCTAAATCATCAGGGGAAACAATTTTGATATGGTTTGCAGGGAACCATTCAGGTTGATATGGTTTGCAGGGATTTGGATGCTACAATTGAAAAAAGCTGACTAAACAATTTAGCTGGTCCAAGAGCAAGCCGACTTGTTTAGTCAGCTTCTCGGCACAGGGGTGCTCATTATTCCAGCTACAAAACGACTACTCTCCAAGAGCAAGCAAAACAACCCGGAGCAGCTCAAGGAATATTTGAAGCTGCACCAGAGTGCTGATTTGGAGCTGAAATCTCTGCGATTGGTAGTGGCACACAGAGAAAGGCTGTCAGAGCTGATTGGCAATATCAGGGGCAAACAACAGAGACCATCACAGACAAGGAGGAAGGCGAAAGCAAGACGTGAGCAGAAGCTGAGGGCAGAGGAAGTGTCTGCGCTTCAAAGACAGGGGTGAGAAGAGTGTGATTTGTTTTGCTTTGTGCCTTGTGAGTTTCAATACTCGTGGCCTGCAAAACAATGACCACAGTACTTTTGCCTGCTGTTTGGCTCAGACAAATTTTGAAAAGGAAACTAACTTGGAAAATTGTGTTAGACTATTTAAAATTCTTTAAAAAAGTTCAAGTATCTGTACATAGACTGAAGTTTCTGAGAAAATGTCTGAAAAACGATCTAATACCGGACTTTTTGAAGTTTAGGGTCCCCGAGAACGGGGTTTTTTCGGACCAAGCTGTGCATAATTTTCAATTGAAACTACTAAGGATTGAAACTTCTAGGGCAAATGAGGATAGGAAAAGGTACGAGGAGATGCTAAGGAAAGCAAGATCACTGGTGCAAAAAGAAATTGACAAACAGTGGTGGGCATCCATTTTCCGATTCGTGAGGCGTCAAGTTGAGGCAAGCTTAAATACAACATCAGAAAACCATAGAAAAAAGTTAGAAAAACTGTCCGAGAGACAAGATAAACCTCTTGGGGGGAGAAATGAGCAATCAGTTAAAGTACTTGATAATATTGAACTGCCTGAATGGGTATATGAGGTGCTACCAATGGGCCCCAAGCATCCAATTAGAGACAAATTTAACGAAACACATTTTTTGGCGGATATCGACATTTTCCTCTCACAATTGAAAAATCAAAAAACATCTGGTGAAACGTTATGTGAAATAGAAGCCGCGGCAAAGGCATATGCAAAAAACGTACGGCAAACCCCAAGAGACAAAGCCGTTGAAAAAACGAGGAAATATCTCAAAGATAATGGGTTGCTGGCTGTGCCTTTTGATAAGGGGGTTGGTTTTTGCATAATGAGGAAACAAACATATGAATCCAAAGCTGGAATCCTTGTTGCAATCTGCTCAGTTTGCGAAAAAAGATGCAACCACTGATGGGGTGATACTGAAAATTGAGAAAGAACCTAACAAAGAATTACTAGCCATGAACAAAAGAGACGAGATAAGTGATCAGTTATATTCTAAGATGAGATCAACAGGGGGGCAACCCGCCCGATTGTACGGTTTAGCTAAGGTACACAAGGATGAGACACCCCTACGACCTGTACTATCACTTCCCGGCAGCTCGTATGAGAATCTTAACAAAATGCTTGCAAAGTTTTTTGACAACATCGATGGAGCAAATATAGAAACCAATACTAAAGAGGCTAGAGAAAAAATAGAAAACATTGCTCTAGATCCGGATGAAACCATAATATCTCTTGATGTGAAAAGTTTGTACACCATCGTTCCCCTGAAGGAGGCAATTGAAATTGCTTTACAGAAGCTGTACAGCCAGGAGTCTCCTCCTGAAAATCAAAGAGCAACCATGAAAAGGCTTTTGAATATGGCGGTCAGCAAAGTATATTTCAAGTGTAATGATTCATGGTATGTACAAGTTGATGGTTTAGCAATGGGCGCGTCCCTCGCTGTAATTCTGGCAAATTTATGGCTGAAAGAATACGAAATTGCTCTACGACAACAAATACCGGTGGGAACGGGGGTACAGCAAATTAATGACAAAAACGGCTTGTGCCCATGTTGCAGCAGGAAAGTCACATAGGGGGTTGAATGCGAGAGTTGCCGAAACTGGTATCATCTAAAATGCGGAAAAAAATCCGATGACGTATACGCATCAATAACCGAGATAGTCTGGTACTGTGAAAGCTGTTGCCGAGCTAAGAACAAGGAGAAGAATACTCCCCAGGTGAAAATGTTCCTCAGGTATGTGGATGACATTGTTAGAACAGTCAGAGGGGAGCCGAGTTGTCTTCTCGATGCCGCCAATTCTCTTCATCCAAATTTGCAGTTCACTCTAGAGAAAACTAATTCGGAGGGGAATTTGCCGTTCCTGGATTTGAACATAAATGTATCGCAGGATAGGCGTGTAACTTGCAGTTGGTATCAAAAACCAACAGATACAGGGACTATACTGAACTATAGAAGCTGCGCCCCAACTCAGTATAAGCGTAGTGTTATCCAAGGCACTGTACACAGGGTTTTTAGGAGTACATCTAGCTGGGAGCAATTTGATAAGGCTATGGAAACTAATAGGGCGCAATGGCTGACAAATCAGTACCCTGAAAATTGGTCCGCAAAGGTGGCTTCAGACGCCTTGTGCAAGATCATCGAGGGTAAAGGCAAGCCCCTGGATAGTGACAGGGGTTTGTCAGTTCAATCACCAAAGGATGAGAAGCCCCCAATGCTGATGGTGCATTATAGAGATAACCAGAGCCAATATTTTGCTAACAGGTTACAAAAAATAACGAACGTTCAAGTGGTTTTCACCACAAGAAAACTACAATCATGTTTACCATCACTGAAGTCAGCATTTTCTAATGACCTCAAGTCAAGAGTGGTTTATAAACTGTCATGTAGTGGATGCACTTTCACCTATGTCGGACAAACTGTTCGACATTTGACCACTAGAATTGAGGAACATAAGAAAGCAGACTCACCGGTAGGCCTCCACCTTCAGCAATGCCAACTTGAGGGAAATAGCGCAGATCTTAGTTGGGAAATTATAGATAGGTCAAACAACCAAACAAAATTGCTAACACTAGAGGCAATACATATCAGGAAAGAGAAACCGGGCTTGAACACGCGCGATGAGTTTAGGAGCAGGGAGTTAACACTGAAAATTTAGTCCCAAAATACTTTTGGTTTTTTATTCAAAACGTACATGTCTAATTCGAAATTATGACTCAGAAACTTCCAGACAAATTAATTTCAAAATGTTTAATTAATTTTAGAGGTTAAAAGTATTTTAATCTTAATAGTAATTTAGAGGTCAACTGTGATTGGCTAATTTTTTATCATGATGGTTTAGAACCAAATTGTATGTGATTTATTGTAAATAACATTTGTAAATTGATGTTTTATTGTCATTTAGAGTAGTTTATTGTAAAAATCCTGACGATGCACATAGTTGCGAAAACGTTTGAAATTTACTTTTTAGAAAAAAATTTCTTAAATTAATTGTCTTTTACGTTTTTGTATTTGCTGATTTATAAAATTCCCACTAACCGCTTATCATGGGTTAGTTCAGTCCCCTAAAGTCCAGTCAAAATCCTTTTTTTAACCTTTATGCTGCGTCAAGATGACTGATAAATTGGATTGGACTGATTAAAAACCTTCAGGACTGATAAATTGGATTGGAAGTGATTGTTGTTCTAGTTGGTATCATATCAGTTGTGTAAATATTTCTCATAGCGACTCTAAGAAAACCCAATGGTTTCAGTGTCCTTTAAGCGTTGATGTACAATCTGTTATTAAAGCAACAATAAATCTGTTATTACATCTGTTTGTAACATTCGCCCGGAAGATACAGATCGACGGAGAACAAAACTAAGTCCTAAGACGACTGGCTAACGTCTAAACAGAGCTTTGCATGCTTTTCACCGTCTCTACCAAGCCAGTACTTTCGGTGGTCTTTCTAACATCGGGTCGACAAAAACCGTTACTGCTTTCGGCTTCGGTCAAAACACTCGAATTAACTTAATTTCATGCAGAAATAGTGAGCTCATGGCTGGGTCTCAGTATCCCCAGACCACGAGGTCACTCCTAAAAACAGGGCTACTACTACTTATTGAATTATTATTGTTTTTGTTCAGTAGATAAAAATCATCATCTCCATCGAAGATGGATCAACCCTTTCCCCCAACTCCTAGCTTCTCATCTTAGTAGAATGAATTCGGATGTTAATTAAATTCAATTCAGGACATAATAGGGAAGCTAAAAGTTCATATAAAACGATAAAAGTTTCAGTCCCGAAACCCCTCCTGATTTTCGAATCCACTGAATCAAGCACGTTAAGCTTGATTTCTCTATAACCCGGAGGGCTGGTTTCCACCCCTCACTGTTGTTAGCAACTGCCTTGCAACTATTGTAGCGTCACAATAGTTGCAACTTGGAGCGGTCTCTGTTACTTCTGTTTCTCTCTGTGGTTTTTCTATCACAATCTTCGTTGTTTTCGTCAGCGCAACTATCGTTGTTGTGTTGCTTTTCAGTTTTTCTGCCAAAATGGCCGTTTTTGACGTTTCTGAGAATTGTTACGTCATCACTTCGAAAATTTAAAATTTAGGAATTTCCGAATCCTTCAGCCTTCACGATTTGTCCAATCGTTCGAATAACGTTCTTATTCCTTCTAAATCGCC